CTGAAGAAGCAATGGGATAAAGGGGGAGGAGAAAGAAAAGAGGGAATGCCAAGTTAAACGACATGGAATAATAATAATACTGTACAGCCAAGTTGCCTTACATGTACCCATGGACACACCAATGCAGGTAGTGCCCAATTTACAACAGTTCATTTAGTAACTGTCTGAAGTTACATCACCACTGAAAAAACTGACTTATGACCGCTTTTCACACTTACAACCATGGCCTCGTGATCAAAATTCAGATGCTTGGTAACGGGTTTATATTTATGACCGTTGCCATGTCCCAGGGTCAGGTGCTCACCTTTCGTGACCTTCTGACAAGCAAAGTCAATGGGGAAGCCAGATTTGCTTAACAGCCATGTTACTAAGTTCACAACTGCAGTGACAAGCACAGTCGTAAAATGGGGCAAAACTCACTTAATAAATGTTTCACTTAGCAACCAAAATTTGGGGCTCAACTGTGGTCGTTAAGTCAAGGACTACCTGCACACAATGAAGGACCAGAACTTGTACTTACGCACAGTCCTAGACATGCACAAGATATTATTACTGCAAGAGAAGAATCACAAAGTTGACCCAAGGTTGAATGTTAGTTACAAAAGACTCAGGATATCAGACCTGCCTTTTTCTAGGGCAGTGTTTCCCAAACTTGACAATTTTAAGGCATGTGGACTTCAACTCCCAGAATTCCACAGCCAGCAATGCTGGCTGTGGAATTCTGGGAGTTGAAGTCCACATGCCTTAAAATTGTCAAGTTTGGGAAACGCTGCTCTAGGGATACCCAGATTCATTTATCTCACCCATTTTCCCAGGGAAGGGTGGAGAGGGAAAAGATGTTGCCCGTGGTGAGTCATGCAACTAACTTGAATCATGGGCTAGCCATTCATGGTACTAGATCAGGGTTGTCAAACTCTCGTGACTTTTTTTCCATTGCCGGAAATGGGGCTTGTGGGTTGGCAGTTTGACACCCCTGTACTAGATAGTTTGCACCTCAAAGAAACATCCAGGCATAAATAGTCAATTACTTCTATCCTTTCTAAACCCTCTGCAAGTCCATGCAAAAACTGGACAGTAAATCCCCTCTCTGTAAGATTCTACACAATTTTAAGAGCTGGATGATAGGGAAAATTCAGAAATTTGAAAAAAAAAAAAAACAACTTGTGCCATCAGAATGAGAATGAGAAAAGGCACACATTGAAACTCTTTGCTTATCATACAAACTGACAATCTGTGGGAATTTCTGTGTATTAACTAACCTCTTCTAACTTCCGTAAAACAACTGAATGATGATTGTATTTTATGCAGAGTAAAACATAGACTACTCCCTGAAATTCTGGTAATACCTGAATTACATTTATATAGATCATGTGAGTATTTTATTAAAAATCAAGAGGACTTCTTATCTGCTTGACGCTTGGAAGGATAGGAGTGTTATTTATTTATTCATATTTTAAAATAATATCAACCTTCTCTTTAACGTTTTAAGAAGTGGAATGTAGAAAAAGCACATGATAAAACCAAAAATACAAACATAAAACAATTGCATTAAAAAACAGCAGTATCATCAGTAAACAGTGGTACCTGTAACAAGACACGTTGACCTAAAAATGACACAGGCATCATGACACAAATGATACAATTATCTGATGTCATATAGTCTTGCACGGGTACCAAATTGATATTGTTTGTCATGACCCATAGCACAAGGCCCTCTTTGCCTCCAGGCAGATGTCAGTGACAGTACAACTTAAACAATACATTTTTCAGAAACATTAACATCAATGTTGAGACTCATTTAGAAGCTTGGGCCAGTTAGAGGGCAGACCAATATTCCAGGATTATCTATTTTGCATTCAACTTGAGAAAAAGCCATCTACATTTTCTCACCAACCTACTAGTTTTTGATGGTAGTTGAAGTCCACAAGCACTCCAGAGAAGGGAATTCGCATCAAAGATGTTCATAAAAAAGGTATGAAAACGTACAGACAGTCCTTGACTTGCAACCACAACTGACATTAGAATTTCAGTTGTTAAGCAAGGCAGTTAAGTGAATTATACCCAGTCTTATGACCTTTTAAGTTAAGTTGATAACACCAATTGTTAAGAGAATCTGGCTTCCCCCATTGACTTTGCTGGTCGGAGGCCGACTGGGAAGGTGGTAAATGGAAATCACATTGTCCTGGGGCAATGCAACAGTCATAAATACATGCCAATTTGATCACATGACCGTGGGGACGCCGCAACAGTTTTAAAAGCAAGTACTGGTTGTAAGTCACTTTTTCCAATGCCACTGTAACTTTGAACAGTTGCTAAACCAGTGGTTCTTAACCTGTGGGTCGGGACCCCATTTGGGGTCGAATGACCATTTCACGGGGGTCGCCAAACAACACAGTCCGCCATTTTTTCTCCCTTTTCCTTAGCTGTGCTACTCCCTTTTATTCTATTGGCTTTTGAAAGCCAATAGAATAGACTCTCTTGAATAGAGTCTAATTCTATTGGCTTTCAAAAGCCAATATGAATTGTCCAGGCTGTCTCTGTCCCGCTGAGCCCGCCAAAAGTCCCATTCTGCAAATGGTGCTGCAAGTTGTCTGCAGCGAAGGCGAGCTGTCTGGAAGTTTCCACCCCTCCCTGCTGAGCAACTACTAAAAATGTAAGTAAAAGAGGGCCAGGGGTAGGAGGCCGGCGGGCGCAGGGAGGGTTGCTGGTACGCGTGGGGTCCGACGGGTGCCTTACCTCCCTTGGGCTGGGCCAGCTGGTGGGCCAGCCAGTGGTCGGTCTGCTCCATCTCTGCCGCTTGCCAGCTATACCTCGGCCGGCGCAGGGGGCGGCACCACGCATGCGTGGTGCTCCCAGGCAGGAAAAGTCCTCGACCTATGACCGGTTAGGTAGTCCTCGACTTATGCCCGGTTGGGTAGTCCTCGACTTACAACCGGTTGGGTAGTCCTTGACTTACAACCGGTTGGGGGTCGCGCCATTAAAAAGATTGAGAACCACTGTGCTAAACAAATGGTTGTTAAGTTAAGGACCACCTGTAATCTTCCCTCAATCAAGCTTAATTTTAAACATTCTGATGACTATATGGACACACCTGTATTTTCTTGGCAACAATACAGAAGTCAATTGGGAGGAATGCATTTTCAATTTCCCAACAGAGCCTGTATTTCCCAATGGTCTTCAACCCATGTATCATCCACATTTAATAAGTTTGACAAGGGGCTGCCTCTTGGTTGAGCAGGAAAAAAAATACTAATTTGTTATGGTCTTATTAAAAGGTATGGGGAGCTCACCTTGAAAAAAGGTAGCAATGCCTGTTCTTATGCGGGAGGGGTCAACTTGACTTCAATTCCATTAGAACTGACACTGCTACGTATTTTTGAAAGGACTCCAATAATAGGCACAGCACAAAGAAAACTCAAGCAATAACTCAGCAGCTTGAATTCCTAGTTGCTCTTAAAGGCACAGAAAAAGGTGGTGACTCAAATGGGAATCAGAGATAAGTTCCTTTGTTCACATGCATTATGCTAATATGGACTCTTTATGCAACTGAAGAAACAACCGTCCACCCGCATGCATGCACACACAAAATCCAGTCTGGATTACTTGATATAATACAGGGAGAAGCCATGCTTATTCCATGGACATATGGCCCTCAATTTTACAGAAGTGTGAGAAACAGCATTAGCTATTATAACAAGATTGAAACTGGAGGCATATTTTGCACATTGGTGTGGAGGGCTGCTACTATTCAAGTACTCCCAGAAGCCCTAAATTCTAGTTGCCAGGGCAACTGTCTCTCCCCCAGCCAAGTGATTACCTCTTTCTTGGAAGCCTAACAGTAATACTATGCTGAATTTGTCTTTTAGTTTCTCAGGAGTTTTCCTCCCATGCAAGGAACACTCTGTTTTTCTATCTTATTTTCGAGGTGCTTGGCAAAGGCTGCAACTACTGATGTTACTTTCTCTTAACTTATCTTTCCCACCACCCTTCCTTGTCTAAAAAAGCCCAGAAGGAGTTCTCTTTTGGTATCTTCCCTTGAAATTTAGCTAAGTGTGGATGCCAGAGACGCTCCCTGTTTCTGGACAAATGACTGCACCCTTAAAGGCAAGAGACACCCCTGCCTTGGCTGCCTTATATTCCACTCAATTTAGAGATTCACTAAAGTGCTCTTCTTTAAAAAGCAATTGAAAATTAAATTAAATCTCTCTTTTTCTGCTCAGTATTTTCTTTGTGGGAGGGATATGCCCTTAAGTCAGTGTTGATTCCTAGCTACTGGAGAAGTCCTTGTAGTTTTCTTCGCAACACTTTTGGAAATGGTTTGCTATTGTCTTCTTCCTAAGAGATAGTTGTTATTTTATTATTTAGCATATGAGGAGAACACAATAGAAGAGAAGCCAACATAAATATAGAGTCCACACAATTATAAGTAAAGCTTCTATGGCAGTATGGCAGTGGCCTCATAGCTTGATGTCCAAGTCAGCCATTCAGGCAGTCACCTCTGACATTGCTTCACGTGGATCTTCTAGGAATCAGAGAAGGTACGTCATGGGCAATCTTCCACAATATGTTTAATAGTTTGCATATCAGCAGCACAATAGTAACAGGGGGAATCTTTCCATCCCCACTGATACAGGGCAGAGGCACTTCTTCCAGAGTCACACTTAATTCTGTTCAATTTCAACCAGACAAAGCGAGACTTGTCAAAACCAGGTGGCTTGGTAGAGGGATCAGTAATGGTCAGGCCACAATAAGGTACCTTGGACCATTCCTTTCTCCAGGCATTCTCGGGCTTAAACTGGGTCGAGGTTAAGTGAACAACTGTTTTCCAAGCTGGCCTACAGGATTTCAATCTTGTGATGGGGCTGTGAGAAAGTGATTTGAGTGGGATGTAACACTTTCAAATGAATAAATGAGTAAAACGAATTCCTAATCCAAGAGGTTGCCCACCTCTGGCCAAAGGAAGGTTTCCTGATTTCGGTGGAACCATAGAGAAGCAGTGG